TTTATCAGCACTACTATAGTCATTGTTTCTCTTTATACTTCTCCATGTTTCTTCCTAAGCTACAAGAGTCCCACCACATGCTTTTTTTCTCCCTCTAACTTTACTGTGTTGAAATCTCAGAACAATGCAAGTAACCTCTCTCATCTATCTATGTAGCACCTGTTAAAACTGACCATCTTGAACGTTAGACTGAAGATCTAAAGGTCCCTGGTTCAATCCCGGGTTTCGGCAAAATGAGCACTTGCTGATCGTGTCAGCCTTTGTTTTAAAACTGTACGCAACAAACAACAACACCTTCTGGTTGCCAACCATTTTAACTCCCTCTCCCACTCCCTGTCCATCCTGGGCCTCCTTGAGGGTCACAATGACATCACCCGCAAACTGGAGGAGCAACATCTCATATTCCACCGCAGGAGCCTATAGCCTGATGGCCTAAACATGGAATTCACCAGTTTGAAAATCTCTCCACCCTGACCTCATCCTATGTCCAAGCCTCCCTCTCATCCTTGCCTCCTTGACCTGACACAACCTGTCCATCGTTTCTCCCTCCTATCCGCCCCTCCCATCCACTGACCAATCCCCACCACTCCCTACCTGCACTCACCTACCACCATCCCACCTACCTTCCCCAGCCCCACCCCTCTTCTCTATTTATTCCTGAGCTCCCTTCCCCCCTCTCCATTTCTGAAGAAGGGTCCTGACCTGAAACGTCAACTTTCCTGCCCCTCTGATGCTGCCTGGCCTGCTGTATTCTTCCAGGTCCACACTGCGTTATATCTTGACTCAAGTTGCTTTGTTTGCTACTCCTTTCAATCTTCATGACAGTCTGACCAATCTTTGGCCTTTTACATAAATTTCTCAATGAAATAAAATATAGCCATCTTGAATTCTTCAGTTGAGATATTATAATTATTTCCTATGCAATAATGTTGCCTGGCAACTTTTGATTTACAATCAACAAAAGCATTTGACCTAGCATTGTAGAATTATGCAGCGCTGAAGTAAGTCATTACTCAATTATGTTTCTCTGAAAGTCTCTGCCATTTAATTCCTTTGAATTTTTTTCAGATATAAATTTCCATTTTTTAAAGAAACAAATATGTACATCGTTCTTGCCACTGTTTCTGGTATGCATCTTCTCGGAAAAAGTGTAAGAAAACGTTTCCTCATTTCTTTCCCCATATTTTCTTTTGGGACTATTCTATTACTCCTCTGACCAGCTTCCTGTCTTGAATCCACCTTTAAGCCTGATCTCATCCAAACCTTTGCTGCCCTTATTCAAACTTTCACCAAGTTTCATTCACCTATAACCCCGGGTTAGCTGATTTACATTGGCCTGTTGTCCAGCAATGCCTCAATTTAAAAATATTCATTCTTGTTCTCAAATTCTTCCATAGTCTCACCCTCTCACTACCCCTGTAATCTCTTAAAACGCTCTGAGAATTCTGTGCTCTTTCAATTCTGGCCTCCTGTACATGCCTGATTTTAATCTTGGGTGACTGGGTCTTTCAGTAGCATTGATCCTGTACTCTAGAAGGATTTTCCTAGATATATCTCCTTCTCTACGTCTCACTCCATCTATAATTTGCTGCTTAAAACCTACCCCTCTGTCTAAGCTTTTGATCACCGAATATCTCACTATATGATTTAATGTCAAAAGTTGTTTGAAGTCTCTTCTTTGGAATGCCTTGTAACATTTTACTACTTTAAAAGGTGCTATATGAATGGAAGTTGTTGTGTGATCATCAATTTAGCAGCTCACTCAGCAGTGGAAACTCTTATTTATCTTTTAAATTTCTTATCATTCTAAACACCTCCATCACTTACACAGTGCCTTTGTAATACAACCTCCCACAGCATTTACAGCACAGAAACAGAGCAGTCTTTTCAGCTGACAGTGTTAATGCTCCTCAAAAGCCTTCTCCCAAAATTCATCATCCAACATTATCAGCATATTCTTCCATCCCTTTCTCCCACTCTACCTTCCCCTTGAATGCATCTACGCTAATTAACTGAGATACTTGCAATAGCTAGTTCCACATTCCAAGCACACTCTGGATAAAGAAATATCTCCTCAAATACACATTACATTTAAAGATGACTATATTATTTGTATAACTCGAAGTTGTAATCTCCTCAACTTGTGTAAGTTACTTGTGGAAATCGCCAGGTCTATCCTTTCATCAAATCCCTTCATAATTTTAAAGGTTGCTGTGAGGTCATCTCTCACCTTCTATTTTTAAGAGAAAAACACATAGCCCCATCCTATTCAGCCTTTCCTTTCAAATCTGGTGTCAACCTCTTTTTAATACACAGGCTCTTACAGCTTTTGGCACAGCAGCACACACATTAAAGAGGCTGATTGTGCTCAGCCTGTGTGGGAAGATCTGGGTTTGAGAGAAAAGTTGCTTGTAGATCTGTTTTGTACCTTCTCCAGAATCTCTCTATCTCCTTTATAATATGGAGCCCAGGAATGCGCATAATACAGGTATTGCCTGTTCAGTCTGATCTCATAATACATTTTTGTTTTTGCAAAAGTTGTAAATAGGGAGGTTCCCACATAGAGGTTTATATTTCACTGCAGTTACTAACATGCTTCTCCAAAGCTTTCTGTTCACATTTCCCTCTCTTGACCCTCCACTCACGCCTCTGCCTCCCAATCTTCACATTCACGTCTTCTGTTCCCACTCGCTACTTCCCTTCTGCAACTTGCCCACTCATCATTCCCCTCTCTCAACCCTCATTCTCATCATTTCCCTCTCCACTCCCTCCCACTGATTTTGTCTCTTGACCCTCCCATTCGCTGCTCCACTCCTCCAATGCTCCCAGTCACTGCTTCTCTCCCCTGATCCTCCCACTCACTACATCCCCATCACAAACCCTCTCTGCTTCCCACTCTCCACCTTGATTACCATCCCCTTCGTGAATCCTTACCAATGGTAGAAATTGCTTTGTAACAGCAATGACCCTGATTTTAATCCAGGGCAGGTTTTGGACATGTGGATATTGAGGAAAATTGGAAACTCATCCACTGCTACAGGTTGAAGCCTAGGGTATTTTAAACACCTGGGCCCCATTGAAATCCTGCTGCCTAATTCCCAGAAATGGATGGAAAATGGTGCAGACCAGAGACCATCCATTGACCACAATATAGGCAGCAGCCTCAGCTTCTGGGGCTAGACAGTGAGGGTCTTGTGTTCAGGAAATTGGGAAATTCCATGAAATGGGATACCTTAGCTCTCCTGGGGAGTGCCTGCTTGTCTCTCTGCTTGCTACATCCCATTTCCTGCAGTCTTTAAAATGACAGGGTCACTTGACCTGAAACGTTATCTCTGATTTCTCTCCACAGATGCTGCCAGACCCGCTGAGCATTTCCAGCAAATTTTATTTTTGTCTCTGATTTACAATGTCTGCAGTTCTTTCAGTTTTTAAAATGATAATATCTGTCTCATTCAGGCAACCAGTTAAAATATGCAGAGGTAAAGAAGCATCCTTCAGCTCTGAGTGGGGGGTCCTTACCTTCTGCTCTGTAAAGTAAATGATATATGGAACAATGGATTCCTGAAGAGTGGTAATGATAGGTCCGTAACCCAGGGTTACTTTCTCACTCTGCCCAAAGAGTTAAAAATCACCCCAGTATTTGGTCGGCCATGAAAGTTGAAATGGAAATATGTACTGTTTAGATTGTGTGGGAGAGGCAGGTTTCCTTCCCTGGGGACACTAGTGAACCAATCTGATTTTTTAATGATAGCATGTTGGATATATTTATCTTGGTGTTAACCCACAGGTTACTGGCTGAATTAAATTTAAACTTGCATGTTGGGAGTTGTGCGTATGATCTCTTTTTACTCGTCCAGTGCCAAACACTGCCTGAATGCATCTAATTTAAGAAGTTTTAAAACTCACACTGTAGTCTCCAACTTGGTTAAGAAAATTGTTCCAAAATTTTCTACGTTGCAAATTCCGTAATTACTTGGAACAAGAGACTCACATACAGGCATTGAACTGGCATATCTTACAATCATACAGGCACATGAATTAATAACAGGAGTAAGCCACTCCCCCTCCAAGCCAGTTCCACCAGTCAATAAGACCAATGTTGATCTGTTTGTATTTTTGAAACCTACATTCCCATGTATTGCTCCCCTTGGCTAACAAGCATCTATCTACCTCCACCTGAAAAATATTCAATGACTACACCCTAACCTCTTTCTGAGGCAGAGCCTGAAAGTTGCACAACCCTCAGAAATGATTTTTTTCTCTTCATCTCTGTCCAGCAAGGGTTTTCAAAATTTAGGGGGTCAGTGTTCACCATAATTCTGGACTCAGCCACATCTTATCCATGTCCACCTTGTCAAGCCTGTACGGGATCTTATTAACTTCAAGTTATGAGTTAAGGAAGCAGCCTCCAGCTATTTTTTGGCGGTAAGGGTGGGGGGTGGGTGGCAGTTCTTTACCTCCTGCTCTGTAAAGTAGATAATATGTAGAACAACGGATTCTTGAAGGGTGGTAATGATGGGTCCATAGCCAGGGTTTTTTTTTCACTCTGCCCAAACAGTTAACTTTTAAATTCACTCTTTTAAATTCTACTGAAAACAAACCCAGTCTGTCCAATCTTTATTCTGCACTCATAAGAAAGCAATCAAATATTGTTTCTAAACTGACAAAAATTATTAAAATCTGTTTTGAGTTAAAATATAAAAAGACTGTGATGCAATTTGTTGGTGTCGCATTATAGAGTGGGTACACGGATGTATCCATTTCCCTAAATAGTACATTCCCACCCTCATGTGTGTGTGTGTCATGTAGAACATTAAGAAGAGGGCACCAAGAAAAGCTGGAAGGCCATTTTATTCTGAACATGGTGCTTATTATGTTGCTCACTCCACTGGCCACGGCTTTGCACTTGACAGTTCAGCCTCTCAACAATGTACTGGTGTGCTACATATGAAAGTGGGCAAGGAAACAAAAAGGAGCAATTGATAAAAGCATGTACATACCACATTCTGTGGATTCTGCAGCAGTTTAACCAGCGCAGGATGGTTGTAACCTGGAACATTAAAACAAAAGCAAATTATCAATGTGCCTTGAGTTGTGCATTACCGACATTGATTTTTAGCTTTAAATGTTCAAGAACAATTTGAGTCAAAAAACTGCAGCTTACACATCAAAGCAAAATCAGTTTATAACAAAATAAAATGTTATACCCTTTAAGTTTCAGACATGGGCAAATATTAATAATTGTTAAATAGGTGCAAAGCAGCTGTAGAATTATTGATATGTCTTGATCAGGTTTTTTTTACATAAGTACATAAAATTAAATTCAAGTCTTGCAGACTTAATTTTAATTAAGCAAAAAAAGGGCATCATATATGTAAATCCGAAATCCAATAACATCTGTAGTAGTCAGCTTAATCAATCTGTCTCTGAACACATTCTATAACAGAAATTGCAATCAATGAAGAACTAGGTACAAGCATGCAAAAGCAGCATGGTTAAATAGCACAGTCTATAAGGGCAAACACCACTCTACATAATGCAAAAATTGTGATCTTCCTGAATGTATTTATAATCACACCAGGCAGTGACACTGATAGTTATCCAAATATTCATAATAAAAACTGAAACAACTGTGGATGCTGTAAATCAGAAACAAAAACAAAAATTGCCGGAAAAGCTCAGTAGGTCTGGCAGCATCTGTGGAGAGAGATCAGAGTTAATATTTTCGGTTGAGTGACCCTTCCTCTCAGAACCTTCTGAGGAAGGGTCACTTGACCCGAACTAGTAACCCTGATTTTTATCCAAATATTCGTGATTGACCTAATTCTCTCACTCGGGACAAAGTGCTTACATTTTCTGAATATGTGCTTACAGTGCTTACATTTTCCTGGCCAGATTTTCATCTTTCACCCTTCCCACAAACATTAGTTTATTCAACTCTGCCGCTTGCACTTCACCCTGGCCTCACTGGTCTACATCGGCTCTAGGTTTCTGAGGACTGAAACTTAAAATTCTTATCCTTGTTTTTACTTTCCTTTATGCCCTCATTTTTTAAATCTCTCCATTCTCCTCCAGCCCATACTGTCCAGACCTTGGAGAGTTTTGACCTCTTCTGCACACCATTTCACTCCACCATTGAAACCCCTGCCAACAAATATCAAGCGTGAAAACATAATCTTACCAGACATAAACAGGCTGCTATTTCAAGAGATAACACAGTGTGGAGCTGGAAGAACACAGCAGGCCAGGCAGCATCAGAGGAGCAGGAAAGTTGACATTTCAGGTCGGGACCCCTTCTTCAGAAATTTCTGTAAGAACGGTCCTGACCTGAAACGTCAACTTTCCTGTTCCTCTGATGCTGCCTGGCCTGCTGTGTTCCTCCAATTCCACACTGTGTTATCTCTGACTCCAGCATCGGCAGTTCTTAATATCTCTGTGTGTTATTTCAAGAGGCTGAACTGAACAGATTTACGACAGCAGACAACAAAGATATAGCCACTCTGGTTATACAATGTCACATTTAAGCATCATAAATCTATCTATTATTGAAATGTATTTTAAAAAGAGTTTGTCAGGACATATATTTTACAGAGGATATTGCTAACATGCCTCATTAAATAGAAACATTGAAGAAATAACATTGCTTCTATATTATTTACCCAACATAATATGAATCTGTATTTCAATTTTAAATCCAATAAGAGCACTGGCATTTCAACAGCGAGGTTAACCAATAGTTTAGCATCGTCAATTAATCGAGCCCACTCTTGGTGAAAGTACACTTGATTAATGTACGATATTCATTGCTGGATCTCCAGCACACCAGTACAAACTCAATTCCACAAAAGAACAATTGAACCCACCTCATTTTACCTCCATTCTCCCACCTCCACCCCAAATCAGTGCTATCCTGTACAAGATGTCTAGTCAAAAACAGGCTTCTGCATTTGCATAAAAACATAGCTCTTGAGGTGAAAGTTCAATAGCCAACAATTATGTACCTTACAGTTGTAAAGTACTTCTTTTCAACTCCACTTTGACCTTATCTGCAGATGCCCTTTGAACGTAGTTCTTCAATTATATTTCAATTATGTAACAAGTGGAATGAAGCTTTGTTGTTGTCAGTTTTGTCCTCTCATGCAGAAATATAATCCCACAGCCACTGACTATCTTCCCATACCTTATTCAAGTTACTATCATTCCTGTCAGGGTTTATGTTGCCTAAAAGTAAGTAACATGACTGTGGAGAATAAATCCACATAAGTGGACTTTTTAACATGGCAAACCTAGTACTCACTAGGAATGTGAGGTTTGAATGATTGTCCTTAGAGCCTCTGGTAGGGAGGGAACCTGCTGTTCCAGCTAAGAGCAAGTAACTTGGCACAGATGGAGAAACAAATCATGGAACATTATGATCATACAGCTTTGGTTTACTCTAGAAACTGCTCATGCTTACAGTGCCATTTGGTTGGTTAAGTAGGGGTTGGGGAAAACTCGAAATTTGTTGGTAATAAATAGGACACCTGTATCAGATAGCAAACCACCGTGAACTTTCTTTGCCGATCTGTTGTTTATTCAATTGTGTGCATCACCGAAACACTTTATCCTCGCACAACCATTTTACTTGTTTGAGTATTAGATGGGGGAGGCAGTGGCCTAGTGATAATGTTATAGGACTAGCAATCTAGGACCCCAGGCAAACATTCTATGGCAGCTAATCAAATTTGGGCTCAATAAAATTTAAAAGAAAGCTAGCCAAATGGCAACTTTTGTCATTTGTCATAAAAACCCGTAGTTCACTAATGTCCTGTGGGAAAGAAAATCTGCCGTTCTTACCTGGCCTTGCCTGCATGAGACTCTGGATCCACAGCACTGTTGTTGACTCTTGATTAATGCTGGCCTAGCCAGTGATATCTATTTCCCGTGAATGAATTTTGAAAAACCCATCATGATTCAACTTGGTTATAAAATATTCATGCAAACTGACTGTTTTAAAAAAAAGGTATTTTGCATAATCACAGAATGTATGATTTAATATTCTATTCATATGTATTCTTTCATTCCTGCCACCAGGTAACTTGGAGTCTAGCTTCTACCACATTGCACAGTCCTCTATTAACTTCCTGTCATTACTGATAAATGTATCAAGAAAACAAGCAAATCTGGGATGAAAACTGTCTGACAGATTCAATCTTCTTGACAGACTTCGGTTTAATCAATGGCCCTGAACCCCTTGAATTACAGAGATTAGAGAACCGATTAGTCACCTGAAAACTTAATTGCACAATCCATTAATAGCTCACACAGCTGAAAATGTGTTTGCTTGTAGCAATGCTTTGGTTGCATCACAATCTGGACAGACAAGATGAGATTTTCTTTACGATCCACAACTGAAATATGATACATAATAAAAAGCAAAAGAACTGCAGATGCTGTAAATCTGGAACAAAAACAATGTTGCTGAAAAAGCTCAGCAGGTCTGGCAGCATCTGAGGAAGGGTCACCAGACCCGAAACGTTAACCTTGTTTTTTCCTTCCTCAGATGCTATCAGACCTGCTGAGCTTTTCCAGAAACTTTGTTTTTGTTCCAGAAATATGATGCAGTACGGTTTATTCCTGTCCAACACACCAACTATGTACCTCAAACATTTTTCTGAGGTCAGTCATTTTTTTTTCAGCTGTTATTCCTCATTGCATTTGGGAACTCAACACGTGGTGGTGGGGGGAGAGGCCTGATAAAATCAGTGAAGGATGGTGTTGTATTAGATGAATTTCACAATTTGAAAAGAGCAGGAGCCCTTCAGGGACAAAAAACATTTTACACACTTGAATTGTCCTTTAGGGAAGGAAACTGCCATCCTTACCTGGTCTGGCCTACATGTGGCTCCAGACCCACAGCAGCGTGGTTGACTCTTAACTGCCCTCTGGGCAATTAGGGATGGGCAATAAATGCTGCCTAGCCAGCAACGCCCTCGTCCCATGAATGAATAAAGAAAAATACACAGCTTTGGATCTTCAAACATTTACTGACACTGTGCCACATTTAGCAATGCTGCACACCTATTCTGGTGAAGGGAAAAGTGCCGCATTTCCCGCAACTCATCCCTCACAACCCCACCCCGCAATAACAACCAAAACAGAATCCCCCTCGTCCTCACGTACCACCCCACCAACCTCCGAATCCAACGCATCATCCTCCAACACTGCCGCCATCTGCAATCCAAGTCCACCACCAAAGACATTTTTCCCTCCCCACCCTTATCTGCTTTCTGGAGGCCCCACTCTCTCCATGACTCCCTTGTCCGCTCCACACTCTCCTCCAGCTCCACCACACCCGGCACTTTTCCCTGCAACCGCAGGAAGTGCTACACCTGTCCCCACACCTCCCCCCTCACCCCCATCCCAGGCCCCAAGAAGACCTTCCACATCAAGCAGATGTTCACCTGCACATCTGGTAACGTGGCATACTGTATCCGCTGTTCCAGATGTGGCCTCCTCTACATTGGGGAAACCAAGCGGAGGCTTGGGGACCGCTCTGCAGAACACCTACGCTCAGTTCGCAATAAACAACTGCACCTCCCAGTCGCGAACCATTTCAACTCCCCCTCCCACACCTTAGACGACATGTCCATCCTGCACCTCCTGCAGTGCCACAACGATGCCACCTGAAGGTTACATGAACAGCACCTCATATTTCGCTTGGGAATCCTGCAGCCCAATGGTATCAATGTGGACTTCACAAGCTTCAAAATTTCCCCTCCCCCAACCGCATCCCAAAACCCGCCCAGCTTGTCCCCGCCTCCCTAACCTGTCCTTCCTCCCACCTATCCCCTCCTCCCACCTCAAGCCCCAACCCCATCTCCTACCTACTAGCCTCATCCCACCCACTTGATCTGTCCGTCCTCCCTGGACTGACCTATCCCCTCCCTAAGTCCCCACCTACACTCATCTTTACTGGCTCCACCCCCGCCTCTTTGACCTGTCTGTCTCCTTTCCACCTATCTTCTCCTTTATCCATCTTCTATCTGCCTCCCCCTTTCTACCTATTTATTTCAGAATACCCTTCCCCTCCCCCATTTCTGAAGAAGGGTCTAGGCCCGAAATGTCAGCTTTCTTGCTCCTCTGATGCTGCTTGAGTTGTGTTCATCCAGCTCTGCAGCTCGAGGTAACAAGCCATTTATAATGGACTCGGAAACAGCATGTTAAAATTCTGTAATCTGTTCCAAGGATAGAAAGTTCCAATGTTACAAAAAAACTTGATCTGAAGCCTTAAACAAGAAGCAATATGAATCGCCAAATAAGGAAAGGTTAAGTTTTAAAAAATCAATTAAAACTTGTAAACCTTTCAGCCAGCTTATTTCAACCAGCATATCTAAAATATAATCAAATCTTTCATTTGACAGAAACAGGCATCTCATGTGGCACTTCATCAGAATCAAAAAAGGACCAAATTTTCACTTCAAAATCAAGAAGATACCCAATTCTGGAAATTTAACTATTTGGATTTTCATTTCAGAAGGCAGGTGTGAACAGAAGGCATACCACTGACCCCAGAAAGAATATGGAGGCAGCCACTGTGGTCAAAAAGCTTGTCTCATGTGCAGCTCCTTTGTGGACCATAGTACTGTTAATTTCATATGAAAACACATATTTCTTTCAAGTACCTGAAGTTACTGTTGTCTCACCAGACCATCGGCCAACTCTCTCACTAGATAGAGAGATAATTGGTGGTGGTTTAACCTGAGGGTCACTATTCCTGCGATGGTGCATGAACTGAATCCATGCTGTTGGCATCAGGCTGCAACACAAACCAGCTGTCCAGCCAACTGAGCTAACTAAGCCTTTATGAAAACATACATACGTGTACTCATAACCCTATATCAAACACAGCTTTATTACTTTAGAACACTTTATAACCATTTGGAATTATCAACAAACTGTGAACAAACAGCAGCCCATTCCTCCTAACCCCCATTGTGATAATGATAGGTTGTGGAAGCAGTTAGGCAGCGCTGATCCCTGTTGCAACAAACTGTAAAGATTTATGCACTGATTTTTTAAAATTCAACTGCTGGCTGGGTATCCATTTAAAAAATTCACAGGGTGTAGTGCTTTAAATGAATTGACAGCATCACAGAGCTTATCCGCTTATATATAGACAATCAAACCTAATTAATAATTCCAGAGAGTTAGCTAACTTCTCCCAAAGGGCATTCTGTGTCTCCAAAAGAGGCACTTTATTTCTCCATAAGGGTACTTTATCTCTCCAAATAACTCTGGCTGCTCTAGATCTTTTCTTTACGTAACTAAAGCCCGTGTATTTCAGAAATCCTGTTAATGAAAAGTGGATCTGTTTGCAGACAACTTTATTTTTACATGTGCAGCTTCCTTTGTGAAATACAGATTTGCAAAGTATGAGATAACAAGGAGTAGAGCTGGATGAACCCAGCAGGCCAGGCACTGGAGCAGGAAAGCTGACTTTTTGGGTCTGGACCCTTCTTCAGAAAAAAGTATGACTTTCCCACACTCTCCCAGTGGCACACATGTTGGTGCTGGGCTGAGAGGTGGCACTTCCAAAGGCAAAATGCAAAGCCATTCTGTTTGCAAAAACTCGGGGAGATTGTTCCTTATCAAAGATTGGAATTTAACAGTGATGGCGGAGCAGGAAGTGAGCACCCCTTGCTTTTTGGTGGTTCCCACATGATTATAATTGAAAGTGCCCGTGGCGTGCATGCGAGAAGTGTGCCAGTTAAATTTTTTGGTGGTGAAAATCTGCATCACATCATAACCTGCCACAAACATAACATTGAGAGCTCAAGTGACATAGGTGGCAGTTCATATGTAAATTTCACTTGTAAATATTTCCTACTAACATTAGTTTCACATTATTCATTCATGCATCATTGGCATTTCTTGAGAGTAGCTTAGTCGGAGATGTTTTGGAAAACTGATACCTGTGAGACACAATCTATATCCTGCAAAATATTATCATCCTGAGGATCTTTAGTGGCTTTGAGACAGTGTGTGGGTGGGTTATTGGATTTTAGATTGGCTTTAGTTGTTTACCAGCAGCTCAGTGATCAGTGAAATTGCTGTGTACTCACACAGAATGAGAAGTATTTAGCGTGGCTTTGGTCAGAGTTGACATTATTTCTCTTTTTTTGAAAAATTTACTTGTAGGGTGTGTGTCCTCACTGGCAATATGTTGGTTGTCCATTCCTATTTGAGCTTGAGAGATGATGCTGAGCCGTCCTCTCGAACTGCTGCACTCCATGTGCTGTACTATTTGCTGCAGGATAACCCAGAATTCGACTTACAACAGCTGTGGCAGTACTGATAAACAGATCAAAAGTGCTCTAAAAAAAAATGTGTTCCACTCGTGCAATCTTCTGCAGATCCTAACCTCAATTTTCAACTCCCAATTGCATCATGGTCCTTTAAATTCCATCTTGTGAAATACCATGAATGAGTCACAGACGATACAAAGAAAGGTGACCTTGGAAAAGTCAAAAACAGAAACAAATAGATTGAGCGATGCTCCTGCCAAAGAAAATCAAATCATGCTTTCCGTCCAAATCTTAAACTCACGGCAGCCTCAACAGCCTCCTGATAGAGCCAGGGTACCCTGCATTGCTTTACTTCATTTTTCTAAAGACAATATTCATCTCACATGAGGATTTTTTGGGGCCTCTATTTTCCAGCAGTTCTTGTAGCTTCAGCACCTGCCGTCTTGACGGCTTGTCTCTACACTTAGGTCACCCATACTAAAAGTTAGGTTAGTTTCATTCAGGTTTATCTGAGAATCATGCATCACATGTTGATATTACCTAAAAGCACCACTGAAACACACGTGGCCTTATACTAGCTCTAAGCCCAGCTCCTCCCTGTGTA